ACACGCTCACGCGCACGCACACGCGCACACACGCACACACGCACACACGCACACACGCACACACTCGCACACGCGCACACGCGCACACGTGCACACGCGCACACGTGCACACGCGCACACGCGCACACGCGCACACGCGCACACGCGCACACGCACACACGCACACACGCGCACATGCACACACGCGCACACTCGCACACGCGTTCACGCGCACACGCGCGCACGCTCACTCGCGCACGCGCACACGCGCACACGCGCACACGCGCACACGCGCACACGCGCACATGCGCACACGCGCACACGCGCACACGTGCACACGCGCACACGCGCACACCAACGCACACCCACGCACACCCGCGCACACCCACACCCGCGCACACCCGCGCACACCCGAGCATACCCACGCACACACGCACACACCCACGCACACACGCACACACGCACATACGCGCACGCGCACACACACATACGCACACGCACACGCACGCGCACACGTACCCGGACACGCGCGCACACGCGCATATGCGCACACGCGCACACGCGCACACGCGCACACGCGCACACGCGCACACGCGCACACGCACACCCGCACACACGCGCACACGCACACACGTACACGCGCATACCCACACACGCGCACACGCGCATTCCCGCACACACACGCACACACACATGCACACACGCGCACACGCGCACACGCGCACACGCGCACGCGCGCACTCACGCTCACACGCACGCACACATGCACACGCGCACACTCGCACACGCGCACACGCGCACACGCGCACACACGCACACACGCACACACGCACACACGCACACGCGTATACGCACACACGCACGCGCACACGCACACGCACACGCGCACACGCGAAGACGTGCACACGCGCACACGCGCACGCATGCACACGCACACGCGCACACGCGCACACGTGATCACACGCAAACGCACACGCACACACACGCACACACACGCGCGCACCACACACGCGCGCACGCACACACGCACACACGCACACACAAACACGCACACACGCACACACGCACACGCACACGCACACACGCACACGCACACACGCACAAACGCACACACGCACACGCACGCACGCACTCACGCACACACGCACACACGCACACACGCACACACGCACATACGCACAAACGCACATCCGCACACGCGCACACGCACACCCGCACACACGCGCACACGCGCACGCACGCAAGCACGCACGCCCGCACACACGCACACACGCACACACGCACACACGTACACACGCGCACACGTTCACACGCGGCGCACACGCACACACGTGCACACGTATACACGCACACACGCACACACGCGCACACGCGCACACGCGCACACGCACACACACGCACACGCGCACACGCGCACACGCGCACGCGCACACGCGCACACGCACACACGCACATACGCGCACACGCGCACACGCGCACACGCGCACACGCGCACACGCGAAAACGCACAAACGCGCAAACGCGCACACGCGCCACACGCGCACACGCGCACACGCGCAGATGCGCACACGCGTTTACGCGCACACGCGCACACGCACACACGCACACACGCACACACGCTTACGCGCACACGCGCACACGCGCACACGCGCACACGCGCACACGCGCGCACACATGCACACGCATGCACGCGCGCACACACGCACACGCACACGCCCACGCCCACGCCCACGCACACCATGAGCGTACACGCACACGCACTCGGACACGCACACGCACACGCACACGCACACGCACACACACACAACACACACACACACCTACACACAAGCACTCCTACACACGGTCTATGCTTCCCCAGGGCGTGAACCGGGCCTCGAGTCTCTTCGAAGACCCACCATTCCCCAGGAAGGCCCAGGGGCCCAAGCGGCTTCTCAGAGACCCTCTCGAGGCCCACCAATGCGAATAACTGAAGGGAAACCTTACCTCGAAGCCCTCACCTTCCCGCTTTCGACTTCGAAGAATGCTTCGCAGAACTTGCCGGGTGACGAGGAGGAAAAGGAAACGCAGGAAGAAAAGCAGGAGGAGGAACAGGAGGACATCAAGGACAGGATGGACGTCCTCGTCATCGTCCACGTTTACGGTCGATGTTGCCATCGTCTGCGGTCGCGTCTGCAATCGGAGAAGTGTGTGCCGAATCAGACACACTTCTCCCAAGATGCCTGCCATTTTTGGAGAAAGGCGTGGCTCAATATCAGGAAGCATGGGGCCTGATGACTCCACTACGTGCCTCGCTGCACGGTGGAGGATCTGATTGACGAGCAACCAAAAAGGGTCATGGTGTATATCGCCGACATAGGGCACGTGAAGTATCATCGTATCCCGGCCGCTATCAAGGATAGGTGGGACAAAGACGGGTGGAAGGCAGCGTTCGGGCTGTTCACCGAGATTCGGCAGACAAATGTCGAGATCACGACAGACTTGTACAATGTCGCTATTGAAGTGTGCGCAAAGGAGCAGCAGTGGCAAAGCGGGCTGTCGCTGCTGAGGGATATGTGGAGGGTAAGGTCGGAGCCGGACGTATTCAGTTTCAATGCTGTGATCAGTGCTTTCGCGAAAGTCGGGTTGTGGCAGCAAGCTTCTCTGTTGCTCACGGAATTGCGGGAAGCGAGGTTGATGCCGAATACCATCAGTTTCAATGCGGCAATCAGTTCATGCAAAAGTGAGTGTCAGTGGCAGCATGCATTTAACTTCTTGAGGGAAATGACAGCGGCGAAGGTGGAGCCAAATGTCATCAGCCTCAATTCTGCGCTGACCGTTTGCGAGCAAGGTGGGCAGTGGCAGCAGGCTTTATCGTTGCTCAGTGGGTTGTGGTCCGTAAAACTAGAACCAGACAGAAAAAGCTTCTCAGCCGCAATGAATGCTTGCGAGAAAAGTCAGAGTTGGCAGGGTTCGATCTCGCTGCTCCAGGAGATGTGGAAATCGAGGACAGAACGGAACATTCGGATTTACAATGGTGCAATTGGCTCTTGCAGAGGTGGGCATTGGCAGCAGGCGTTGGCACTCCTCATGGATCTGAAAGAAGAAGTACTAAAGCCCAGCACGGTCAGCTACAATGCTGCAATCAGCGCGTGCAAGGACGGCGCGCAGTGGCAGTGGGGGCTTTCGTTGTTCAGGAGGATGCTTCAGACATGGCCTGGGCCAGATCCGAGCCTCAAAAGTTTCAACGCCGCGTTGAGTTTGTGCGAGGAAGTCGGGCGGTGGGAGCAAGCGATGTCGTTGCTCAGTGAGTTCCAGGAAGTTGAGTTGAACGCGAACGTCAGAAGTTTCAACAGTGTAATCAGTGCGCACAGGAAAGATGGGCAGTGGCAGCGCGCACTTCTATTGCTGCGGATGATCTGGACGGGGAGGTTGCAGCCAAACGTAATCAGTTATGGGGCTGCCATGAGCGGGTGCGAGAAGGGTGGGTGCTGGGAGCAGGCTCTGTCCTTACTGGGGGAGTTGCGGGATGAGCAGCTGGAGCCGAACATCATAATCTTCAACTGTGCAATCAGCGCCTGCGAGAAGGGGAGGCAGTGGCAGCGCGCGCTGTCATTGCTTGCTGAAATGCGAGACACGGAGCTTGAGCCGAATGTCATCAGCATCAGCGCTGCAATCAGTTCGTGCACGAAGTGTGGACAGTGGCGGAAGGGGCTGATGCTGTTAGGGCAGCTCTGGGAAGCAGGAGTGGAGCCGAATGTTGTCGCCCTGAATGCCGCAATTCACGCGTGCGAGAGCGGCAGGAAGTGGCAGCAGGCCTTGTCATTGCTGGGAGAGTTTCGCTTGGCGAAGGTTGAGCCGGACCTAATCCTTGCTCAAACGCCAGACGTGCAACCGCGAGAACGGCCGGGGTCCCCAGAGGCCCCACCTAAAGTCAGGAGAGAAAAAAACACACAGACAATTAATCGTCGATCCCCCAGAAAATATAGGAACATATGGGAAGTGGGGGGGGGAAGACAAAAACCCAGAAAATATGGGAAAATTGGGAATCCTGTTATTTGTATGTATTTATTAGTGTGTCCCAGGGCCCCTTCATAAAGGCGGTTCACCTTCCAGCATGACGGCTAGACGCAACATTCCATAAATACCCAACCTTTGGATTTACAACCACTTTTGCATCTGATTGCTGCCCGCCTTGACTGCTTGTCGAGTTCAGTCTCCCGTGCCGGCGCACCTTATCCCTCCAGCCATTGCGGGGCAGCCTCGCGTAGGTTCACGACGTCTTCCGCAAGAAACTCCAATACGTACCAAGAGACGCTCCCGATAGTTAGAGTGTATTGGTTATGTTGGGCAGGTTATGTTGTTTTTTGGGGGGGAGGGGGGGTTGTTCGGCTTCACGCGACGCCTCAAAAACGCGCCCGAACTGCTGCAAGACGACCCGAGACCGTTTAAGAGGGTCCAAGAGGCCTCTCAGAAGACGGCAAAGGCGCGGTGCATCTTTCCCCAGGCAGTGTTTGCACTTACGGGTGCTTACTTGTGTTGAGAAGCGATTGGGTGGGTCCGCGAGAGTTTCACCTGGTGCTCGGTTGGTCGCTGGTCGTGGGCGCCTGGTGGGCGCCTCGTGGGCGCCCCGTCTGCTGGGTGGGTCCGCCGGGTCTCGACTGGTAGCCGGTTGGTGGCTGGGTGTGGGCCCCTCGTGGGCGCCCCGTGCGCTGGGTGCCCCCCCCCCAGGGCTGAGGCCAACGCTCAGTTGGTGGCCAGTTGTGGGCGCCTCGTGGGCGCCCTGTGCACTGGGTGGCGCCCGGTTGGTGGCCGGGTCGTGTCCGACTCGTGGGCCTTGCGTGACTCGGGTGGTTCGCCAGGGTGTCGCCTGGTGCCCAGTCGGTGGCTGGTCGTCGGCGCCTCGTGGGCACCCCGCGATTGCGCTGGGTGGGTCCAGAAGGGGTGCGCCTGGCGCCGAGTTTGGGGCCGGGTCGTTGGCGCCTCGTGGGCGCCCCGTGCGTTTTAGGTGATTCCGCCGTGGTTTCGCCTGGTGCCCGGTCGGTGGTTGGTCGCGGGCGTGTAGACTTTTCAAAAGATCGGAATTTTCTCTTCTCGCGGGTGGACAGTATTTTTAGTGTTGCAATATGCTTGGTTCTGGTTCATCGTGCACTTTCCATCTGAATTTGTTATACCATCTCAGCTCATCTCTGTCAAACAATGCAATGCGTGCACACTCGTTCATCTCGAACCTGGTTTCCAAGAAACCACATGCAAGAAGACACAGCCGACACGCACGCGCACATGTCGGAATCATAGCACACCCACGCCCACATTATGTTTGCAAGCATGTCAACATACAAGCCTAACAGCCCTTAGGCGTTTTACCACACATATTTCAGATTCCCTGCCTGCGCGCGTTTGGCCAAATTATAGGAAAACCATGTGACTAAGTAATCTCGTCCATAAACCGTATTCTCATCTCACCACTCGGCGCATTTGGGTTGATCTAGCATGCGCCCAGTGCACGAAGCCGTATCAAATAATACCATGCGGGCCACACGCACGCGCCGCCACGCGCGCGTGTCGCAACAACATAGGAACACACACGCACACACACGCATGTTTTCGAGCAGCAATCGGCCAGATGTTTCGAAATTTCCGCACGCGCGCACACTTCCTCGCCATACCCTCATCAGCGCCACCGCATGACCACCCGTTATCGTCATCGTCTATTGTTGCCATTGTGGCCATCATCAGTCAATATCTTTCTTCACTGACACGTGGACGTGATCATCCTCATCGTCGTCACCAGCATCGGTGCCGTCATGGAAGATGTCGTCGGCATCTATATCATCACCACCACCATCGCTCCTATACTCATCATCATCATCATCATCATCATCATCATCCTCATCCTCATCCTCATCCTCATCCTCATCATTATCATCATCATCATCATCATCATCATCATCATCATCATCTTCATCTTCATCATCATCCATTGTCATCACCACCATCGTCATCATCATCACCACCATCATCGTCATTATCATCATCATCATCATCATCATCATCATCAACAGCAGCATCATCATCATCATCATCGTTGCCGCTGCTGTCGACGTCATCATGATACCACGCCCGCCCGAGCCACCGACCCGCACTGAAGTGCCTGCGCGCCAGAGCAGCTTTTGAGACGCGCTGAGAAGCTCTCATCGCTAAGCGCCATCGCGGCCGCATCAGTTTGCCAAATCAGCCAGTGCCAAGCAGTCATTGCAATCGCGGCCGCTTGAGTTTTGCATCTATTGCGGGTGGGAAGGTGGGATGTTTGCGCGAGTAGTTGGGTTGCCATTTTATTATCGACTTGGTTAGTTGCACCACGTAACATGCTCCACGTGGTCTGGTCCATGTATGTTGCACCACATTGGTTGCCTCACATGGACTGTAGTAGCTTCTACCACATCGGGCGTTCCAACAAGGGCCTCGCCTGCGAGGCGGAAGAAGGTGCCATCTCTTCCGCGGCGGAAGGGCGGCGGAAGTAGGACGAGGCCGCCTCCTCCGGCGGAAGCCGGCGGGAGAGCGGCGGAAGGCGGCCGCAGCGAAACGTGCGCCCCCAAGAGATGGAACACGTTTTTGGGTTCAGGGTTCCCGAATTCCGCAGCATAGATTCCAAAACGCTTTGCACGTGGCTTTTTTCATGGTTTCACATCGATGGTCCCACACAAGCATGGCACCGCAGATGTTGCGCATCCTTCGTGCGAAAAGATGCACCGTTCGGGGGGCCCGGGCGAGTAAGCGTCAAAGTTCTGGAGGGGAAGAAACACACAGATTTAATTAAGTGTCGACTCCGATGAGAAAATGCGGAAAAATATGGGAAAATGTGGGAAGTGTGGGGGGGGTAAGACGAAAACCCAGAACATATGGGAAAATATTGGGAATCCTGGGATTGGTGTCTATTTTTTTGTTTGTCCTAGGCTCTCTTTAAGCGTAGCGGCCAAACGGCTCATTTGAATCTCAGGAAAGCCTTCTCCGGCCCAGGAGGGCCGCCAGCAACTGTCCAGGATGGCCCAACACAAGGGGCTGGAAGACACATAGACGGTGCAGCGCGCGACCCAAGCAGCCACTCCTCCCATGGGCCCCGATGGGCTTCAGAGACCGCCACGATGGTCAAAGACCACCCCTAGAGAGTCCAGGATATTGTGAATCGGTTCCCTTTCCCGTTCCCCTTTCGTTCTTCCGTCTGTTTTTGTTCATCGTCCTTCTAGTTCTGGACGTTCAGTGTATCCCCACCAGCCCATTCAAAAACAATCACCCGGCGAGTTGTCCTGATCAGGGATTTGTGGCAGCATGCAGTCGCGCTTTGGGAGCCTCTTGGAGGCATTATGGGGCTCTACTGGGGCCCTTGAACTCTTCGGGCTCTCTTGAGGCCCTCTTGGGGTCCTTTTGGAGACTCTTGGGTACCTTCACGGGTCTCTTGGGGCCGTCTCGGGGGCCATCGATTAAACATGGCGCGGCGCTTATGTCAGTCCCCCCGTCGGGGCCCTCAGAAAGTCGCCTCTTGGGGCCCTCTTGGGGCGCTCTTGGTGCGCTCCTGGGCGCTCTTGGGGCCGTATTGGGTCCCTCTTGTGGCTCGCGTGGGCCATGTGGGAGTTATCTTGAGGCTTCAAGGGCTCTTCGGAAGCGCCAAGGCGAGAAGACAAACAGCATTGATTTCCTTCAGGTGCTGAACGGATTTGGGCCTCTCGGGGGGATCCTTGAGAGGCTCCGTGGCCACTTGGAACTGTCTTTGGGCGGCCTTTGGGCCTCTTGGAGGCATGTGAGAGGCTGTCTTGAGCCATTTTGGGCGATCTTATCTTGGAGGCCATCTTGGGCTAGCTGGGACCTGTCGGGACCACCTTGAACGCTCTGGCCGCTCGCAAAACGCCCCCTCCAGACCCAGGGAGAGTGGGTAGGGGTAGAGGTGAACCTTGCCCCGCAGGGAGCGAGGAGGTTTGAATAACCAGCTTGCTAAAACACATACGCCCAAAGGGCTGGTGGGATTATGCCGGTTCTCCTCCTCGTCGCCGTCGTTCGGCGCCACCCTAACATACTATGTATGACAACCCTTCTGGAGTTGGGGGGATGTTTGGGGCTCTTGGGGTGCACCGCCGTCCAATCCGTAGGGGTGCGGCTCAAGCGGTTGTGGGCTTGTCGTTTGCTTCCTGCAGCGCCAGAGTTTCGGGTTGCGAGGCAGTTCAGCCGCACACCTTTCGCGACGAGGTTCGCCTCCTGCACACCTGATGCTGCCCGCTGGACAGTGCTTCAGACATCAGGTAGCCCAACCCGATGGCATGGACGGCGGGCCGATCTTGGGTGTGGTGAAGAGGCAGCTCGCGGATAATGCTGGGGGCACCGCTTACGAAGTAGACTACTTCGGCGCGGTCGAGGGCTATTTGTCTTGGTGGCTCGGCTCCTGTCGAGCGTGAGGGGACTCGTTCTGCCTGCATGTCTGCCGCGGCCCGCTGTCCGAGTGCCGGTACAGGTCGCCGCAAGATGGGATGCAGGTTCTGCATTCTAGAGCGCCGAAGTTGCTGTCGGCGGCCGAGGCGGTGGAGGAGCACATGGCGATGCTGCAGGAGAACGAGGAATGTCCTGCCATCCCTCCCGAGGTGGCGCGTGAGGCGTTGGCTGCTGGCGAGACTCCCAAGGGCGTGGGTGCCGCCGTGGTGGCCGCTGGCCCGCTCACGGCGGCCTGCAAGCGCCCCGCCGCTGCCGCCAGAGGCGAGCTCGACGAGGCCGAGATCATCGAGGATGACGACGACGCGGCTTTCGAGGAGCTCGAGCGGGAGCTGCAGGCCCTGGATGGGATGGCGGACAGCGCGGCAGATGATGCGAAGGGCGGCTCTCGTGAGAGAGCGAAGGACCTCGAGACGCGGCTGGAGAGTGCGAAGGCGCGGGCCGGCGGCGCGCCAGCGGCCTCTAGTGCCACGGCGGCGCCTGCTGGGAAGGCAGCGGCCAGGAAGAAGGCGAAACTCGGCGAGGTCGTACAGAGCAGGATTCAGAAGGAAAAGAAACACACAAACACAATTAATCCTCGATTCCCCAGAAAATATGGGAAAATATGGGAAGGGGTTGGGAAGACAGAAACCCAGAAAATATAGGAAAATATGGGGAAATGTGTTATTTGTGTGTATTTATTTGTGTGTCCTGGGGCCCCTTCAAGGATTACTGGCATGGACCCTTGCGCTGGAGGGGAGGCCGCCGCGCCACCTGCAGGCCCCGCCGGCTTCCAGTGCTGAGAGGACGGTGCTTCGCGCGCTGGCCAGCTCCTTGCAGAAAGGGCGCTGGCGGGAACGACCCGCTCGAGAGCGACGAGGAGCAGATCGGAGGAGACAGGCCCATTACAGCGAGGAGGCTCGCGCACAGGCAGATCGCTCAGAGGAGCCCGGGCCGCCTCGCCGAGCGGGAGATGGAGAACGTGGCGCAGTACTTTGACTTTGATGACGAGGAGGATCCAGGTGCCGTGCTGGCCGCGGCGGTGAAGTTCCTGCTGCGAGTGTTGCGCCCCGCGCACCCGATTAGAGAGATCGGTGAGGATCGGTACCGAGAGCTTGGATCGCTGCATGAGTGCGCCGATCTCATAGTCAAGGGGAAGCCAGTTCACGCGCTAGACTACATCTTCAGCAGAATAAAGGCGGTGCAGAAGGCTTTTCGAGACGGTCATCCGAGGACTGCGAAGTGGTTTGAGTTGATCCCTCCCGACAACGGCGGCCTTAGCTTGTCGGTCGAGGACGAGGAGGTCGTCATGGGAATCGAGGCGGCAGAGGTCAAGATGGCGCAGCTGCTGAGTCGCCTGGGCCCCCGCAGCTAGGAGCTCGGCCGGGGTGGAGGCACTGGCTCGCCTACCCATCCCGATGGCCAGAGCCGCGGCAGAAGCCCGGACCTCAGAGCCTGACCGATTTTCGGACATCGGCACTCTCGGCGACGCAGCTGCCTTGCGTGGTCGAGTTGGACTTCGGCCCCCCGCTGGGCGACAGCCTGCTGCCCGGCGCGCTGCTGCTGCGCCGCCGCCGGGGGGTGCCTTGCCCGCGCTGACTGACCGCCCTCGCTCCCAGGCGGTGGACGGATCGCCCCTGTCAGCGTGGGCTGCGGTGCCGGCGAGCGCGCCGCGCGCCGAGGGAGAGTCCAAGAAGCAACTGAAGAAGCGAGTGGCCCAGGAATTTTTCCAAGAGGCGCGCTGGCCCGAAGAACGCAGCCCAGAGGAGCAGCGGGGGCCGGCGAGCGGTTCAGATGGAGCGCTGAACCCGCGAGTAGGCGGCGGCAGTCAGGTGCAGCCTTCGCCGTCGCTTGGCCAGTGGAGAGCTGGCGCCGCTTCCCGCCCTGTAGGTCGAGTGGCTGCAGAATGACAATGGTAGAGATCGGGTTCGGGATCCTCGCTCACGTCAGGAAGATACGTTGCAAGATAGGAGATTTCATGCGGTTGTTCCCTAGAGGCGACGCACCACAAGAGCCGGAAGCTGGTGTTGGTCGCGATGTGCTACCGCTACCAGTGAGGAGGCCGGCACCGCTTCTAGCATGGGAACGTGGGATGATAGTTAGAGGACTGCTACGCGGCGAAGGACCCCCGCGGAACCTGGAGCTGTGGACCGATAGCGAGAAGAATGAGGCGCAGGAGGTCGCGAAGCAGGTCTGGCTCTTCCTCAGCGTCATGGGTCTCGACTACCTTTACCTCTACCTCTACCTGGGCCATCTCAGCCGGGGTCGCTGGGGGGCAGCGGGCGCTTGCTCGGAGGTGCAGCTGGCGAGCCTACGCGCGATCGGGGAGACGGTCGAGTAACACGTCGGCGATGCGTTGAAGGAGTTTGAGATGCCCTACCGGCCTCAGGAGTCGGCGAAGAGCAGGACCAGCTACAACCCGGACGAGGACTGCCGCGCCCTGCCTTTGAACTTCAGGGAGCTGGAGCCTGGGCTTCCCAAGGCGGAGGACATCGGCCGCTTGGATGTTCTCGAGTACGTGGGGAGCGACTTGCAGGAGCTGATGACGAGGCCCGAGCTGTTTTTGCTTCCTGAGATGGAGTGGCCCCCTTCATCACCGAAGGCCAAGGTCAACGTTGCGAAGGTTGCGGATTGGTGGTTCGTTGCTGCGAAGCTGGTCGACCGTGGCCTGCTAAAGCCCATCAGCCCCGAGCGTATTTTCCAGGCTCGCGGCCAGCGAGTTACCAATGGCCTTTTTGCCGTCAGCAGGAGTGGAGACCCCGGTCTTGGTGCGGAGCGTGTAACTCGGTTGATTTCCAACCTGGTTCCGACTAACGCCTACTTGCGTCCTGTGGTTGGCGACTCCGCTACACTTGTGCCCTCGCCTTCTTGGGTCAGTATATCTTTGCGCTCTGATGGGGCGTTCTCTGGAGTGGCGATGATCAGAAGGGCGCATTCTTCATGTGTCGGATCCCTGAACCGTGGCTCGGGTACATGGCCGCGTGCACTCCAGTCCCAGGCCGAGTCCTTGGCATCAGTGCGAAGGAGGCTTGGTTGGCGATGACTGCTGCCCATGGGATGGGTTTACAGTGTGCCGGTCTTTCAGAGTATTCATCGCCGCGCTGCTCTGTTGAAGGCGCCCGCGGGGGCGGAGCTGCCGGCCCCCCGTGAATGGGGGGGGGGGGTCGCCCTATTCCTGCGGCGGCCGCGGCCCCTCTGCTCAGCGGGGGCGAGAGTGGCTGGTGGAGTACGTACATCGACGACTTCGATACGGCAGAGGTGTTTGATCAGGAGACCTGCGCGGTCTTTGATTGGGACCCCTGGCCGTCTGCAGAAGCAGATGAGGGGGCGCTACGAGAGGCACTCCATTCCCACCAGCGTGAACGAGGCTAACCAGCGCCAGGTCTTGGTCACGCGCATGGGGGCCGAGAGCGACGGAGTGATCGGCCGAGCGGCTAGCAATCGCGCCAAGAACGTACAGCTTTACAGCCTCACCCTGTGGCTCGCCACCTGGGAGAGCCCCTTGGGCAACCAGCTACTGGTATTGCTGGGGCGCTGGGTTAGGGCGCTGGAGTTCAGGAGGCCGCTGTTCGGGGCGTTTAATGCGGTCTGGGACCTGGGTGCGTCTGGCCGCGCCGCATCGCCCAGGGGCTGCCTCGATGAGCTGGTTCACGCCTGTTTGCTGTTGCCTCTCGCGTCTGCCAACTTGCGCGCCCGTACCACTGGCGTAGTCTTGCTCGGATGCCAGCGAGGAGGGCGCCGGGGTGCGCGCTGCTGTTGGGCTGGCGGAGGGCGCCGAGGCTTTCCTGAACAGCCTGGGCAGCCCCGAGACTTGGAGTCACCACATCGCCGGATACTCGGGCCAGTGTGTCGTGGAGGTCCCGAGAGCGCCTGCTGGAGCTACTGAAGTGGGGCCTCGAGTTCTTCTGGTCAGCCTTGTCGATGGCATTGGCGGCGCGGCGGTCTCATTGCTGCGCGCGGGCTTCTTGATTAGGGGCTACATGAGCAGCGAGGTGGGCAAAGGAGCTCGGCGCGCACTCCGGACGCGCTGGCTGGGACTGATCGAGCTGGGACCGGTGGAAGCAGTCGCCGAGAAGCAGCTCGAGGCCTTGACCTTGTTTGAGGACCGCATTAGCGCTGTTGTTGTTGTTGCTGGAGGGTGCCCGTGCCAGCATGTCAGTGGCATCGGCGCTGACCGGCGCGGGCCGCGCAGCGCTCGGGGCGGTTTGGTTGCGCGCGCCCCCGTCATTGTGCGTGCGCTGGCGAAGATGATGCGAGTTCCTGTGCACTGGATCGCCGAAACTATTCTCTCAATGAATGCTGAGTCCCTTCAGGAGTTCAATCCAGTCCTCCAGCGAAGGCCCCGGAGTTTCTGCAACTCCCGGTTCACCGAGAACCGCAGGCCCCGTCTGCATTGGTGCTCTTGGCGGGAGGCAATCCTCCAGACTTCGGGGCTGCAGGTGGAGCCCAAGCAACACTACTACCTCATCAGATCCATTTATGGCCCCCAAGGCCACGGCGAGCTCTTGGGTGTCTTCGGGATGTACGAGAGCATCTTCAGAGGGACCAATATGCACTCTGCTGCAGCGACGAGAGAAGACCGTCCCCTACAAGCCCGCTGGGTTATCTACAACCAGTCCAGAAGCGATCCAGAGACGGGCTCATGATCGACATGCGTACCCTCCGTATCAGTACGAGCTGATTCACATGATATGGGAGCCCGATGGGAGCCTGAGGCCCTTGTGTGCCACCGAGAGAGTGGTCCTGATGGGCTGCCCCAAGCACTGCGCATCTTCTGTAGCCAGCTCTGGTTCTAGCCGTTCCGCGGTTGAGACTGCCCGCTGCAGCCTCATCGGTAACGCCTTTGCCTGCTGCGTTGTCAGCTGGTTGTTCCTGGCGCTGCGTCGCGAGCTTGGCTGGCAAGTGGGACCTGCTGATTTGGCTCGGACCACCGCCTCCCTCGAGGTGAAGGATCTGCCGGGCGAGGGCGTTGAATTTTCGAAGGAGCCCATTCGTGAGACCGAGCTGGGTCAGAAGCTAGCGCAGATCTTCTGGGCCATTGCCGAGAAGTCAGGGAGCGGTCTCCGCCTCGACGTCGGAGTACCCTTCCGGCCTAAAGCGTGGCCTCGGTCTTCGATTGACCGGGCTTTGTGGAGGTGGAGGCCTGCGCTATCTTTCCCTTCGCCAAAGTCGGCAACGGAGCTCCACATCAACGCGCTGGAGTTGAAGGCTGCGAACGCCTCTCTGCGCCACAGGTCGAGGACGACCAGCTTCAGGACTGTAAAAGGTGTTGCACATGGTGGGCTCGCATGTGGTGGCCTCGGGGTCGGACTTCGCCAGGGAAGCTTCGAGGTCTTGCTAGACATTGCGCGGCCATTCTCGTCAGCTCGGATTTGTATGTGGCATCGGCTATATTAACACGAAGCTGAACCCGATCGACAAGCCTTCTCGCGAGTTTCTCACCAAGAAATAGCGCCGAAAAGAGTCCAGGTGAGTCCGGGTGCAGATAGGCGCAGGAGCTGGCCGCATGTTCGCAATCAGTTTGCCAAGGGAGGGACGCGACTTCGTGATTTACATATTACCAAGCCTACTCGACAGCGGCATGTACGTCGTGTCGGGCGCTTATTCGCCTGGTGGAGGGCGCATGGTGTCCGTTTGACATCCTTCCGCGAAGTTGATCGCAGGTTCAGTGAGTATGTCGAGGCGTGCTGGGCCGAATTGGAGCCGTTGTATTTTGTGGTCAACAGAGGAGCGGCTCTGCAGTGGCTCATGCCGTCGCTCCAGGGCCATTTGCAGCAGAGCTGGAGCTTGATCTAAACCTGGGAGAAGCAGTGTTCACCCTGCCGCCACCCCGTTCACTGCCCAGATTGTCCTGGCATTGGCTGCAGCCGCGTGGGATCTGGGTTGGCATGGATTGGCAACAATTTTGCTAGTCGGTTTGGACACGTTCATGCGGACGGGGGAGTTGCTGGCACTGCAGAGGCGTCATATCCTTGTCAAAGATGATAGAGCCATCATTCAGATTGAGACGTCCAATATGGGCCTCAGAACAGGGTTCTCGGAAGTGGTGAGCCTGCGCGATGGTGTCAGTAGACAGGTGCTACGAGCTTGATGCCTCAGTTTGCAGCCGCATGAGTATGTCTGTGGTCCCACTGCTCCTGAGACCCGCCGACGTCTGAACAATATGCTGGGGCTTTTCGACTTGCAGAATCGTGGCTTCACGATGTATAGCCTCCGCAGAGGAGGCGCGACGGCCCAATTTACACGCCATAAAAATATGGAGTTCACTCTGCAGCAGGGTAGATGGAGCGGCGCAAAGATAGCGATAATGAGTTTAGCGCAGGCAGTGGCTGATACTGTTGCGCTCACGCTTTTGCCCAGCTCCGCTCTTGCAATTGCAGCAGCCGCCAGATGGTGGCGAGAGATTACCAAGACTTTGACATGATATAAAGGGTCGGCAAGCCACTAAGGGGGAACGTGGAAAAAAAGGCTCTCTAGTGGCCCTGGGGGTCTTTTTCCCGTTCCGACGGGGCCTGGTGTTTGTGGGCCCCCCTTTGGCGTCCTGTGAGCTGCGACCTCCCCTGGTGCCAGCGCGGACAGAGGGTGAGGAGCCCTGCTGTTCCTAAGCTGGTGCTGCGGGAGGCTGTCGGCTCACTGGGCGAGGGCTTCTGCCAGGCCCCCCGGGGCCGTTGCCTAGAGTTCGCTTGAGCCTAGCACTTCCAAGATCGTGGCGGTGCGTCGCCTTAAGAAAGAGCCTCTCTCAAACATGTATGACAGCCCTTCTGGAGTTGGGGGGATGTTTGGGGCTCTTGGGGTGCGCCGCCGTCCGATCCGTAGGGGTGCGGCTCAAGTGGCCCTCCATCCGTCCCCTGGCTGCCACCTTGGAGGTCAGGCTCTCTAGTGGCCCTGGGGGTCTTTTTCCCGTTTCGACGGGGCCTGGTGTTTGTGGGCCCCCCTTTGGCGTCCTGTGAGCTGCGACCTCCCCTGGTGCCAGCGCGGACAGAGGGTGAGGAGCCTTGCTGTTCCTAAGCTGGTGCTGTGGGAGGCTGTCGGCTCACTGGGCGAGGGCTTCTGCCAGGCCCCCCGGGGCCGTTGCCTAGAGTTCGCTTGAGCCTAGCACTTCCAAGATCGTGGCGGTGCGTCGCCTTAAGAAAGAGCCTCTCTCAAACATGTATGACGGCCCTTCTGGAGTTGGGGGGATGTTTGGGGCTCTTGGGGCGCACCGCCGTCCGATCCGTAGGGGTGCGGCTCAAGTGGCCCTCCATCCGTCCCCTGGCTGCCACCTTGGAGGTCAGGCTCTCTAGTGGCCCTGGGGGTCTTTTTCCCGTTTCGACGGGGCCTGGTGTTTGTGGGGCCCCCTTTGGCGTCCTGTGAGCTGCGACCTCCCCTGGTGCCAGCGCGGACAGAGGGTGAGGAGCCCTGCTGTTCCTAAGCTGGTGCTGCGGGAGGCTGTCGGCTCACTGGGCGAGGGCTTCTGCCAGGCCCCCCGGGGCCGTTGCCTAGAGTTCGCTTGAGCCTAGCACTTCCAAGATCGTGGTGATGCGTCGCCTTAAGAAAAAGCCTCTCTCAAACATGTATGACGGCCCTTCTGGAGTTGGGGGGATGTTTGGGGCTCTTGGGGCGCACCGCCGTCCGATCCGTAGGGGTGCGGCTCAAGTGGCCCTCCATCCGTCCCCTGGCTGCCACCTTGGAGGTCAGGCTCTCTAGTGGCCCTGGGGGTCTTTTTCCCGTTTCGACGGGGCCTGGTGTTTGTGGGGCCCCCTTTGGCGTCCTGTGAGCTGCGACCTCCCCTGGTGCCAGCGCGGACAGAGGGTGAGGAGCCCTGCTGTTCCTAAGCTGGTGCTGCGGGAGGCTGTCGGCTCACTGGGCGAGGGCTTCTGCCAGGCCCCCCGGGGCCGTTGCCTAGAGTTCGCTTGAGCCTAGCACTTCCAACATCGTGGCGGTGCGTCGCCTTAAGAAAGAGCCTCTCTCAAACAATACTATGTATGCGTCGCCCAGCCAGGGGCGACGCGCGCACCGAGAAACTTTATAGTATGTGCGTCGTGGCGGGGGCTTTTTGGCCACACCGCCCGGGAAACGATATACTGCAGTATTCGATTATAGCCGTAAGAGTAACCTTTCGCCGGAGTGATCTTTGGTGCGGGCAATAAATTGGTCCCCAGATTGCCAAACGCGATGCAGTAGCAGCGTCTTGCGCGCTTGTGCATGGTCCCCCAGCGGCCCCCCAAAAGCCGCGCACCAAAGGTCACTGTTACCCACAGTCACTCTTGCGTGTAGCCGAAAGATGGGTATACTATATGTTCGGGTCAGACCCGCGCTTCCAAGGAAGACATCGTATTAGTATGCCTCTTTGCGTCCCAGTCAGGACGCCTCTATCCCCGCTCTGGCTTCCGCAGGCGTGTGTAGCTCCTCGGCCCGAGCCTGCCCTGGTTTAGACCCTCTCTGCCCTTCGCGCCCGTGCGGCTGGGGCGCCAAGTGTCTGTGTTTGTCAGCGCCGCGCAGGTCTTTTGCTTCTTCTTCTTCTTCTCATCAGTATCCTTGATCGTCACTCTTCTTCTTCTTCTTCCTCTTAGTATTACTAGTATTCGCATTATCCTTCTTTATCTTCCACTTCTTCTTCTTCTTCTTCTTCTTCTGCTTCATCTCCTAGGCGGCGGTCGCCTTCTGACAGATCGCGTGTGGGCCCATCGCCCAAGGAGGTGGCCCCACGTTCTCTCACAGCTCGGGTTTGCGCGGGGCGCGTCCTACCTACCCCGCAAAACTGAGCTCTGGTCGGGTGCGTCCATCTGCCTCGGGAGGCAGTCGGCGGGTGTGGCGAGAGGGTATCCTTCTCCGCGCGGGCGCGCGCCTTGCCCCCCTGGGTTGCATGCGCTCGTTGTTTTGAGCTGAGTCGCATCACTTCCTCCTGCGGGCCTCTAGTCAGCGGGCGGGGCGCTTCTGCGTCCCGCAGGCCACTTGGCTCACAGGCGCCTGTCGGCCACGCTTGGGCTGCCCACGGCGCCCGCGGTTGTGCGCACGAGTGCCTCCTGTCCTCCTTCGCGTTCGGGAGTTTGACTGCTAATGGAGGGAGACGACGACGACGCTCGCGGTCCGTGGGCCGCTGGAG